CTAGTAATATTATGGGGCGATGTTTCTTTTCAATAAAATCAGTCACTTTCTGATAATACCTCAAGATTTCCTTTATCGAACAAGATCCTTCCATGATGAAGCAAACACGTGGACTAAGACCAATGAACAGAAGCGAATAAAAATGGTGCTGCAAACTAATGTAACATCGTATGGTGAGTTTCTGTTCGTATTGTGGAGCAAAAATATGTTCGAATTTCATGTCGTATCCTGAAAATTTCATAAGCTGGGGCATTCGTATCCTGAGGTACCACTGTATTTGTTACCTTAGTTTTTGAAAGATAGTTAAAGTGCTAGCTTTTCTTTTCTTGTTTGATGCAGAAGAATCAGTTCTACTTTGTTCAGATGACATGATAGAGTCTCTCAAGTCTCCGTAGATATAACAAACACAGAAATAAATAACACAAAATAACATCACACATCAGAACACGTAAGCTGAACAATAGTGTGGGGAAGTGAGTAATCAAGGGTTGCGTGACGCTCAAACAAAAGACGAATTGACGAGATTTGAAAATTGCATAACTCCGGGTTCGCGTAAGTTGGGGTATTACTGTAATTATTTATACAGAAATATCATAGATTGTAGATGAACTTACTATGTAGAAAATATTAAAATAAGTGTAAGTAAAAATGCCAAAATGGTCCAATCTGATTTTTGCATTTGACTGTAATATAAATTTTAGGAAAATCAGTGAAATAAAAAATTTGGCAACTTTTTGCAACTTTGTATCTCAGAGCACTCTGTAATGAAGTTTCTAAGAGCTTGCTGAAGCAATCGTGTTTGTGTATTGGTAAATAAGTATATTGGTTTTCTTTATTTTTCCATTGAACTCACGCATATTACCATGACTCACATAGTCTAGAGTTAGACCCATCAAGCAAACTCGAAAGGTGAGTGGAAATACACCATACTCACTTGTTTACATATGTCATTAAGCATGATGGGATTATTTACAATGCATCTGGATTTACAACAATAACGATTTGACCAATCAAGTTAACTGTAACAAGTTATAAACAAATCAACGTGAATTAATTTACATGTGCTACAGTTAGTTTGGTCTTATAGCAATATAGTAGGCAGAAACAAAATGGAAACCTCCAATGTTTTATTTTAAAAAAATAAGCAAAGAACAAAAAAAAAAATATTAGAAACATATATAGAAAATATTAATAAAATGAACAGTGGAAAATTTGACAATGTGTTTACAAGAAAAAGACGATTTGTGGAAAGAATTAATTGAAGAATTAAATGTGTGTGTTGGAGCTAAAAAATCCATTGTGGAATGGTAAAATGTATTGTAATTTAATCCTTTCTTCGTGTAGTTTTCTTTGATCTATTTCTTAAATTGTTCAATGAACTTAACACTTAGTAAATAATCTTAATATAGTGTTTATGCTCTTAATAATTTAAACATATAATTTACTATCATTTTAATTCTCTTTTTCAATGAATTAGATACTTTTATTTTTGGAAAAAATTCTCTGTATAATTTTATCAATTATGAATTAAAATTTTTATATTAGTGCTGGCTTGACATGAAAAGAAATGGCATTTACTCATGGTTGAAAAATTCATTTCCTTCTTAAACAAAGTCTTTCAGCTTTTTCTAATGCTTCGATTGCGATCAGAATAGCATATCCGTCAGCCATTTTCACTTTCGTGTAGAGATCTCGCATGCTCAACTCAAAGTGAGTAGGAACTCACATGGTGAGATGGGAAAGCACGTGAGTTATAACTTGAGACTACCAATTTGACATCAGAGTGTGAGATGGTACCACATGACACGTTCAACACATTGGGAGTTGTAACACGAAAAACTTAAGACTAAGGGCCCTGCTCTACTACATACTGATGCAAGCACGTCATAGACAACTGGTGCTGGATTCTGTAAGTCCCATTACTAGATGTAGTATGTAATCCAGTAAGAAATTTAGCCTTATTTTTAACAAAATTTAAGCTAGATATTCCATAGAAGGGCTCATACAAGTCATCTTGCCAGATGACTTTTGCAATCTGCTATTTTAATTTGTTGTGCATTTGCACCTTAATTATGCAGTAGCCTACATACAAAACTTAAGTATTGCATAGGTATTTCTACAGAAGGAATTATATGATCCACTAATACATCTTAACTTTGCATCTAGAGTTTTTCAAAATACAGTTTGTAAAGCTGTATTCTTTTAAGCTCCCTAAAAAATCATGACTCTGTTTATTTACTTAAAGGCCTTCAAAAGAAATTAAATTCCTTTTCTTGTCAACACAAAGTTCACAAGCATGTTAAAAAAACTTTCATACACTTAATTTGCTACTATCTCAAGTCATAAGTGCATCATCTGTTTGCTTGGTTGTAGTACATTGCTGCATTTCACTGTATTGCATTGACTTGATCCAGAATCACAGAATTTGCCATTGCCAAATTGTTTCAATGCAAATTTTGAAAATTTTACAAATTAATTTCTAAAAACAATGTAAATACACTGTCAGAAAAATTGTTATTTATCCATTACACTTTATATAAATCATTATAATTTATTAAATATATATATATAAAGTCTGTAATACTGTTTCACAAGAAGAAGAAAAATTCAAGTATTACTTCTTGGCAACATTATTAACTGGGTATTTTTCAATCATTACAACATGAAATAGTAAGTAAATCAATTATTATTATTCATTACTTCAAATATCTTTTAATATTAGGGATGTTCAAATGTGCTCTATGAAAAAATTTTATTTAATTGACTAGCATAATTAATAATTATATAATTTGCTTTTTATTACATATAACTAGTTTGATATTTGGCATAACTAAACAAGTTTTTTTTATTATATTTCCACATGTAGATCTCTCTCCTATAGTAAATAATTTTAGGTCAATCTTTCCAGTTTCGTTAGGCCTAACCTTTTTATAAAGTTCATTGTTTTAACACAGTAAACTGAAAAAATATTTTTCACCAAAATTAATTGATGCATATAGTGATTTATCTCTCAAATTAAAAATCACCATAAAAAATGATAGTACATTTGTTTCATGCATATGAAATGTAGATAAACAGATTAAGTAAACCGTAACAGAAATCACAGTACTTGAGATTATTAAAATGAATTATAATTATAAATGTTAAAGTATGTAATAGAAATTATGTAACTATATAAACAATTGTTACATTATAGAAAATATAACTTTACATCCCAGAAAAAGATGGTAATGGCAATGACACGGATAGTCTCAAATAAGAGATCCAATCTAATTGCACTGCAAAATAATCTCCATTAAAGCACATTATTTAAATTTTTCTAACAAAAAAGAGATATTTTTGCATCTTAATGCCATCAACAAACAACACAAAGTAACGTCAATATCAAAATTATAAAATATAATAAATCACCCTTTTGGATGTAAAAAATTATTTTAAAATTTACTTATTTATTGTGTAAAAATGTAAATTATTTTAACAGTTATAGCAAATGCAATAATAAATATTTTAAAAAATTAATAATAATTAAACAAGCATAAATTTTAATTATTAAAAATGAAATTAAATAATGTGAAAAGAAGAATCTAAATATTTAAGATGCATATAAACTTTATAAAAATATTAATTAAGCATTAATTTCTGTAAATTATACCCATTTGAAATACATAAATAATGCTTTTATAATGTTGGTAAATATAAGTTTTAGTATGTGTAAATAAATATATATACACATAAATAAAACTGAAAAACATCGATATAAAACACTAAAACGAATGAAAGTGAGAAAAAAAAACAGCATTAAACAACTTAATTACAATTAAAAATGATGAATTAATCGCTTCTTTTTATCGAATTTATTTCCCCTCCAAACTTCTCGACTGGTAAGCCTATTCACTACCACTTAAATACAATGGAAATAATAATAACAAAAGCATCTACTTAATACATATATATTATATTCGATAACTTTGATAAATTTCTTACCTCGCTTACTGTCATTCGACAACAATCATGTCCGGGAATATTAAAAGTCACAATATCCATTAAGTTTCGTTTAGCATCAACAACACTTCCAGACGCCATCTTCTACCTAATACTTGTCACGCGCCCACTGTACGATTACTGGTCGGTTGCGTTCACGTGACTCGATCGCTATTGCACCGTTAGCATCACGTGACGGCGAGCAGATTTGGCGGATGTGTATTATAAAAGGATACTTTTTCGTTGGACACGTGTGCAGAAAGTAGAATGACAACTGGAAGTTATGTCTTCGTACTTCATTTATTACACTTCATTGATTTCAGTTCGGTATTTGAAATTCTTTTAATTCTTCTTATAATTCGTTTGATTATATTCATAAATTTCCTAATGTGCAATGAATTAAAAGTAAATAATACATATAATCAATAAAATTCTCAATATTTTGAGGGCATGTTAGTCACTTTGATGTGTTGCGTGTGTAAATGTTATGTAATCTTAATCAAATAATAAGTTTAAAAAATGAAATTTATTCCTTCAATAACCTAAGAAATAAGCGGAACTTCGTTAACAATTCATGAATTTTCTTCATAAGTTATTACAGAAATTTAAAAGAACTTGATAGAGTAGTAAAATATTTAAATTGTATACGTACAGTACATAGATATATTTATTAATATTTTAAGCCATTTATTTTTAAAATAATATTGTAGAATAAATTAAGACAATTTAAAAACATTGAAAATCGTACAATTTCTAATTTTTTCGTAATTTAAATACGTAATGTTTTTATTTTGTGTTATAATTTCTGATCTTTTAACTGTTAAATATAAATTTAAAAAATATATTAAAATTATTTACACTTATATTTCAAATGATTGATTGAAATTATTTATAAACAAAACGCTTTTTTGATTTTTTCTTTGTTTCTATTGATGGACATAAATTTAGTACCGTATATTTATTCATTAATTAAATTATTCCCGATTACATTTTTATGAAGTATCATTTATAAATGTATTTTTTGTAATTAAAGACAAATATGATCAGTTATATTCAATTCTAGTGATAGTTACATTCGATGATTCATCATCGCACTCGATCAGTTAATGAACTCACATGTTCTTAGAGCGGGAAAGATAAAATCAAATGTGGCCAATAGGAGTGAGAAGATTTTATCCAATAATCTTAAAGCATTTTAGTTTTAATATTTTTTCGAAATTTTTAACTATTTTTCCCGTTTTTCATAATAAATCGTATATAAAGTTCATCATTTCGAACTTGATTGAAATTTAGCAAACTTTCAAATAAGCTTTTTACTGTGACATCACATTCAAAATTTATTTATTCAACTGTAAATGCCTACAAAATCAATAAAATAATTGTTACTATTATTTTTTATTTCAAGTATACCTTCATTTTATCACATTAAATGACTTGTAAATAGACATAAACACATAAGCTACTCTAATTTCTATGTTCCGGTATTGAATCATTCTGAAAAATCAATAAATGTCATTGCGTGAAGGTAACGAATTTTTGATACCAAAATCGCTTTCATAGACCAAACTTTTTTTCCTTACGAAGGATACATTGGTGACACACGCGGGCAAGCACTGTAATACACGAACATACTCACTCACGTAGTTACATATACACACAAGTTATATTCGTGGCAGTTGAGAAATCACATTTCATTCGAAATCTTTATATTGATCATTCATAATAATAATGTTCTTCTTATGTATTTTACGTTTCATGATAAAATTAAAAACGAATAATGAGTGTTTAACTCCATATTCTTCATGATAATAATAATAATCTACCAATACTTCTTTTTGCATATTGTAACAAAATTATCATATTAAACACTTTTTAAATTAATTTATAGAATCTATATAAGAAATGATTCTTTATAAGAAAAAAATTTCAGAAAAGAAAACATCCAATTTTAAAAAATTGATTTAAAATTAATAAAACTTCAATTTAAAAATTTTTAAGGAAGCTGTAAATTAATTTATGAATGTTTAATGCGATAATTTTATGATAAGATTCAGTGTCTACGGACAGTATTTTCATAGATAAGAAATTTTTTTTTTATATTTACTTCTTTCATATTTCTTTATCCGTTTTTTTAATCTCCTTGAAAACTAGAATTGAAATTTCCGGAGTTGGATTAAATAATATATTACACAACTTTGTATCAAATTTCACAATCATTTGTATACTATTAAGAATTTAAATATACCAAACAAATTTTGCTTTCACCAATCTGGTTGAGCCCCTTACACCTGGATGGGACAGGTTATGGACAGTGTTGAAAGCAGTGCGACGATAATTAGGTGGAATGTATGGACGAATGCGACCTGTCGATACATCACAGTAAATTTCGACATCACTATCAGGAAGTTTAAACTTCTTAAGTACAAGTGATGAGTCACTTGAAGTCAGGAGAGACTGGAGCTCAGGATCTTGCTGTTGGTCTTTTGCAATTTTGCTATAATCTATAGATGGGCTACTAATTGATTCAATACGGGAGAGAGCATCAGCTGGAACATTATCGATTCCCTTTATGTGTCTNATACTGCTTTTGAATATATTGCAAATCGTATTACTTTATTTAAAATATATTTTTTCAATTATATGTGTCAGACATTATTCTATTATGAATAATCGATCCGAATATGCAAATCAATAAGTTATTTAAAAGGTTTTAAGTGATTGATGCAATTTAAATATAAATATTTAAATTGTTTGTATAAGCTAAAAATATTATAGAGAAAAATCTCTGTAAGCGGGAATTGTTTTTTCGTTTTGAACAGGTTTTAGCACTTTTTTTTTATTTTTAAACTGTACCAGATAAATATCACAGATACTTCATTTTATAATAATGTCATTATTACATAATTTATTAGGTTTAATCCGTATTAATTCAAAGTGATTCATCTAGATGGTATTATTTAAATACAAAAATTAATAAGTATTCGATTGCAACAAGAACTTGTTGCAATCGAATACTTATTAATTTTAGTTATTTAATTTTATTAATAGTTATTAATTAGAGAACTTGTTCTAGGTGTTCGAATATTTCTCGGATGCGGTCCTTATCCAATTCGATAACGACAACGAACAAGCCAATTCGAGTAACAAAAGCTAGTATTTCACTCTGTTGTCGGAAATTCTAATTGCATTTCAGAAATACATAGACCAAATTATTCTGCGATTGTGATTTTTAAGGTATTTTAACTCTCTATCTATTTCAACGATTCTCAACCTATGACCCGCGATGATGGGACAGGTTCAATAAGATGAAACAATAAAGATTAAGATTTTGTTCAATCATGATTCACTTTTAATAGTTTACTTCCAATTTAATTAACTGGAAGTAAACTATTGTTTCCATATGTATTCAAAACAGGTTTTTAGATTTATTATGTTATAAATGGCATAGTATATATGTTGGTAATATTCACATAGGTTAAAAATTAGGCCTACATCCGGAAAACTTTTTCAGACATTTTACTGATCTTTGGGCTTAAAAAGGTTGAGAAACGTTGCTCTAATTAATCGTTCACTTCAATCTCTTTGATTATCAATGTGTTAATTAACTTGTTTTCAAATACACGACAATTAGCTACTAACCATTCCGTAGTCTGTGTAGCTATATTGTGTTACCTTATTATTTTCAACGAATGACATTCGCTGCTTGTTCTCCAGAACTCGATTCTTAAAAGTATTCGATTTTGCCCCTGGGTTATTTTTGTCAAAACTGTTATTCATTAAAATTTAAAAAAAGTCCTGTATTTGTTTATCCCTCTCACGCAGAGGCGGATCCACGGGAGCTAAAGAGTCTTAATCCCTTCCCACTGACACAAAAAAATTAAAATTTATTTATTCACTTTTTGTTTGTTTTAAAAAGATTTATGATGACAAATATTGTCTATCCGCAATATTGTCCTTGCACGTGTTAGACGTAATAAAAAGTACTTATTAATTAATTATTCAAATATTTAAAAAATTTCAATTAGTCTCCATTGGAATTTTCTGGACCCCCGACTGTGGTCCCACTTGTTTCTCTGAAAAGTTCGAACTGGTCCTCGGAATAGTTTCTCATGCTCTGCTATGACCGTTAATATGTGGAGACAATTTTTGTCTACAAATGGAATCTTATCTTTCCGCTTTATTCAGGTTAAATTACTTTGATTAAATAATAGTAAAAACAGTATAATCAGTAATTAATATATAAATATGTAAAATATTTTATTTATTAATCGAAAAAAATATAATATTTTATTTCAAGATTATTTAATAAATTTTATTTACAATTAAATCAAAATAACTCATTTTTATATTTTTAATATTTATTGATAGAAAAAAAATTAATATTTTCATTTTTAAGGTTAAATTGAAATATAGCGCATAAAGTTTAATTTTAAAAATAATTTTGTGATTTTTATAAATAAAAATAATTATAAGAATTCTTTTATATATAAAGGAATGTTGTAGAGGGAAAATTAATGTATAAGAAGTCGAAGTCAGATGACTACGACTAAACAAAATTAAAGTCCATTCGATGCGATGATTTGACAAGATGCTATTAGCTATTAAGTTTCAAAATAAATTTGTCATTTAAAACAATGAAAAGTGTTCATCATTTATATATGTATAAAGAGTGAAAGTTACTATATAATATAATAAATTCCTTAATTAATACGGTTATCCATGTGTTACGACGGTTATCCATGGATAACCGTCGTAAAGTGAGCTATCATATTTCACTAAATGTCATAAATTGAGATTAAGTTCGCGTAAATGGCGTTTAAACTATAATACCAAAGGTAGTCAACAAAAACACTACACTTAAATACGACAATTCATCCAGACATAATAGAAAATTTATACCAGTCGACTGGTCGTAAAGCGGGTTCTATTTACAATAACTGTTTAACTGTGTATACAGAACTTTTTATATTTTTCATTAACATGGTTAAATAAGCTTATAGAGAGTCTTATATTTTGTTCATTATGCCTACAAAATTCAGTAATAATTCCATTGATCATTAGTGATATTTTCTTAATTATTTGCTCATTAATTTCCTTATTAATTTTTATTTTTAAAAATTACTTGTACTGTATCTTTAATTTTTTAATACGAAATACGTGTTTATTTTTCAGCTGAATTATTTGTAAAATTAATTTATTTTGTATGATTAAGTGTTAAAAAAAGCTGGCAAGGGCTCGACTTTCCCGGCCTTCGAACAGGAGGTTAAAGGAACAATTAGAAAGTCCAATAATATACGATATAAAATTTAGACAATAACAAAAGCTTAAAATGAGTTTTTGTTAAGTTGTGATAAAAATCTCCATTAAAAAAATTTTTAACTTTAAAAAACACC